AAAGAAAGAAAGAAAGAAAGAAAGAAAGAAAGAAAGAAAGAAAGAAAAAAAGAAAGAAAGAAAGAAAAGAAACCGTGGCGTACTCAGCCCACGCGGGACTTGCACGTCACATTGTTCCCCTCAAGGCTGAAGCATCTTTGAGGAAGAGGGGTCAGAAAGACTGTAAGAGCTGGCGTTGGTGGATTACAAGAAAACAGCTTTTCCAGACCCGGCAGAGCAGAGACACAAATAGACGAGTAGAGATCGTGATAGCATGCGTAAGACCTATGGAAGTTCAAGCCACACCAGGTGCCAGCACAGAGGGACATGGTGGGCACATAATCCCGCCGCCGTGTGAGGTGAGGAGCTATTAGCACTTGATGGTAACGAGAAAGGGAGAGTCAGGTTTGGTTTCGTTTTTAAAGATGTGACCCCACATCTTTAAACCACAGTCTAGGCCAGGCTTCACACCAATTGGACTTGATGAATCAGCAGTGCACCCAACCACAGGCTGGGTAGAAAGGGACAGAAAGAGGGTGGAGTTGGCGGCTGTGAGAGGAATTGGGAGACAGGAGTGAATACAATGAAACACATCGTGTGAAAGTCCCGAAGAGTTAATAACATATTTTCTAAAGTACACTGGTTTGTCTGTACTAAGGACTTGCTGTGTAGCCATTCTGGACTCAAACTTGTGATCCTTGCCACCACCCTCCCAGTGCTGGGATGTACAAGCAGGCTTTTGAAACTCTGCTTTTATACACGATGCAACTATAACTTAACCCGAAAGGTTTTCTGGAATCAGAAACAGGAACTAGAACCAAGCAAGGCCTCTTGGGTAAGCCTCATGTCATTGGTATATAAAATCAAGTCAAACTCAATACGAAGATAAGAAAAAAGAAAAAAAAAAACCTCAACTAAAAAATAGGCAAAGTTGGAAGAGACTTCTCACTCAAGATAGGAAGACAGCAAACGAGCTTATGAGAAGACGTTCCATGTGACTCATTAGAGGATTGCCAATGAGAGCAAGAGTTAAATACTACCACATAACTAGAGAGTGGCTCGAATCCTGAATGAAGAGCGGTGACGCATGCTCGGAAGATGTGGTGCAGCAGCCCATTGCAGCGCCTTTTAAAACTCTGCTTTATTTGGGCATTGAGGCCCCCACCTCCTTCCAATCTCCCAACCCTTATGTGGGAGAGAAAAGGTTAGTGGGGAGTGGGGCCCAGACCCCTTTACTTCTCTTTGCTATTTAGGGTCAGTGGGTTCTCTTAGGGCTCTTTGCCAATCTCCGTCAACTGCAGACGCAGCCAGCAGTCTCCTCCATGCTGCTGCGCCCCGAAGCGTTTCTCTCCATCTATCTGCTCCAACTGCCACACAGTCTCTGGTCTCTGATCTCTCCAAACTGCTCCACCACACACCAAACGCTACCCCTTCTCTGTCTCAGCCCTCATATTATACTCTCAGAGTTGTGGGCCACGCCCCTCTCCGTGCCACACGTGGAAGGCTGTTACCAGCTGGCAAAAGCCATGCCCCGCACGAGACAACTAACAGCTGTGGACAAACTGTATCCCAACTAAAATCCCACACTAGCGATTGAAACAAAAACATGTTTACACAACGTAACCGAGTTCGCAAAGAAACCAAAACAGCCTATGGCCGGCAGGAATGCATCCAGAGTGCATTTGACCAAAGGGACCTGTAAGGGACACCATGAACCGCACTCCAGGCTCTCAGCCTCTTTGTCCAAGTGTCAAGACTTTGTTCGTTATTTATTTCCAGTCTTCATAAGCTGTCAATAATGTGTGTGGGCACTACACTCAAACTGAAAGCACATCCTTGCAAAAATCCTCTACGTGTGCATAGGGAAAAATCTTGATTCTGGGCTCTTTGGCCCACTAACTACACAGCAGCTCTGTGGCATCATGTGGTTGACAAAGCTCTCTTCACCACCACCTCGTGTGTTTATAACTGTGGATTGCTGTGCGTTCAACTGATTTTCAAAGACAGCCTAGATGTCTAGTAGAAGTGACAGTCTAATGAATGGACTATTATAAGCTGTGACCTACTTCAGCTGGGTTTTTGTTTTATCATTTGAACTAAAGAAAGGCGTGTTCTCCCCCTAGGCAACTCTGGTACACACTGCCTCCTTTTTGTACTGAGGCATGAAATCGGTTAACTTCCTGCCTGTTTGTGGGAGAACATGGGATCCACTGAAACCCATCACTATGTGTCTTCCTAGCTCGTCATACCTCCCACCTTAATTTTTTTTCTCTTCAACTTACCTTCTCCCTGGTCTCATTGCATCACTCCCGTTTATTCCTGTCAGCCCGCATCCCTTTCTTCTGCTGCGTTACCCAGCTCTTAGCCTGCAGCTTCTTCTGTCTTCAGGCTCTCTCCTCTCCCCCTACCCCCAGCCACACTGCAATAACTGAGGACTGCAGGAGAAAGTCCATTCTGCCCACAGTTGTCATTACCCACACGTCTGGGTGCTGTGTGCCTCTCCCACAGTCCTCTTCTTTTTACCTTAGCCAGTGTCCTCTCCCATCCTTCTCATTGTATATGCCAAATTTTTACTATTGTCGTCAAGTTAAGGCTTTGTCTGCTTTTTCATCAGAACTACATTCTGCTGAACAAGAGGATGGAGGCCACTGACGGTCAGCCAGAGACAAACATCTTCAAATGTGTATCTGCAGCTCTTCTCCTGCAGCCTCAGACAGGAAGACACGCTTCCTCATCCCCAGGCAAACCAAGTTCCTATTTTTGTAAACTGAGAACCACCCATCCTGCCTCATCGTCTCCAAAACTGTCTTCCATCAATGATTTTCCCAGAATCCTCAGCATCATCCATCATCAACTGTTCTATGAAACTGGGTTTTCCCTCCTCCTGTTCTTCTGTCTTCTTCCTCTTTCTCTCCTTTCCTTTTTTTTTTTTTTTTTTTTTTTTTGAGATAGGGTTTCTCTGTGTAGCCCTGATTATCCTGGAGCTTGCTCTGTAGACCAGGCTGGCCTTGAACTCGCCTCTGCCACAGGAGTGCTGGGATTAAAGGCCTGTGCCACCACTGCCCTGCTCCCTCTGTCTTCTGTGGATCTGTCGTGGTGATGCATGCTTGTAATTCAAGCACTCAGGGGACAGGAGGATAAGGAGTTTGAGGCCAGCCCTGGCTACGTAATGACATCCTGTGCAGACAACTGAGGGCTGGGGGCTGTGGTTCAGTGGTGACAGGCCTGTGTAGCATGCTCCAGGTGGTCCCTGGATTCTGTCCTCATCACCACTGTCTCTTTTGGAAGGAAGGAAGCTCCCAAACCTACCATGAGGGTCAGCCTTCTTACTCTATGGCCTGTCTCCACTAGACTTCTCAAACAACTTTCTCAGAATAGCCATCTCAGCCTACTTCCGTACATCCCACATCTCACATTTCCTGTTTCTCAGTGCTCTGTTTTCAGCTCACTCCCTCTGGACTCTGGCTCCGCTCTGCGGTTGGATGTCCACTGGCTAGGATCGCCAGTGGTTTCCCAATCACTACACTCTGAGTTCTCTGTTGTTTTGTAAGCCCCAGCTTGATGCTCTGTTCTCTTAAAGGCTCCTCGGCCAGGGAATCAAGGCTGACCCAGGACTGATCATTACTCTACATTAGGTTCAGGGGGAAAAGGACAAAGACCTGAAATAAGACAGG